GAAGTAGGGAAAGTTGTAATATGAAACATAATAAATGTAAAAAGTTGGCATATAATATATTTTTTTTTTGTTAACAAGAAACTTAATTTATTCATAATCACATGCTGCTCTTGGATCCCGTTGACGTTGCAAAGAAGAAGAATTCGTCCACACATTCAAAATCTGTCGTAATTTTACACCACTTACACCAGTATTTCTTCGAAACAAATTCTTAGGATGTTCATATTCTTCACCACGAATGAGGGGTCTAACTTCCATTACCATCCTCCTTTTACCATTGAAAGGAAAGATCTTTTTAATTACAGAACGTTGATGAGATGAATCATCATCATTTTCTTTATCATAATAAAGGTCAAACAAGAGTATTGGAAGTTCTAAAGCATTCACTTTAGATCTTGAATCAGTTCGTTTATGATGATTGAATTGAAAATCGAACTCTTGGTTGTATTCGCATATAACATCGCCGTGCTCTTCCAACCAATTAAAAATTTCATCACGCCCACCGATTATTTGGAAACTTGGTCTTGACCGTTTAAGTTTGATTTTTCGTAGTTGAGGAGGAGCGTAACAGGTTAAGAATCCTTCTTCATCAACTGAATTGAGAATGTTAATTGGTTAGTTGTCAAGTGCGAATAATTCTGAAAACCTTTTCATAAAAAAAAAAAAATCAATACCGATTGGATATCCGTATCTAACCATTTTAAAATTTTTTTGCATTAAATTTGTTAGGATAATTTTAGGATAATTTTAGGATATTTGACATTAAGGACTCCAAAAGAGTATGTGTATTTATCATCAATAGAATTTTTTGATTAGATTAGAAAAGAAAAGTCTGTAACGAGTCTTTTTAAAACAAAAATTTCGGAACGTCTTACGTCAGTGTTCACCTCCAATTTTTGATGAATAGCAACCAATCATTTTTGCACGCTAGCTCAATTCTTATGATTATTTGATCAAAAAATGGTGTCTGTCAATAATTTGGGGTGGTCAATTATTTGTATTGCCATTTAAGTTGAGAGTAGCTTGTCAAAAAAACGTAGAATTCCAGTCTCGAAAAAAAAAGTCCTTTTTATGGATGGACTCCGTGATTTTCGAACTTGTGTTCTACGCATCTACTTTACACAATTGAAAAAAAATCTAATCAAGTGATTTAATTAAAAATTGTCAATTTTCATTTTGGAAATACGGCAAAATAGTCAGAAATTGGTGATTAATAATAATGGTAACAGTAATACAGTACTGTGATAGTCGGGTTAATAGCTTGGTACTTTATTGGAAAATGCTCCATTGGAAAATTTTTATTATTAACCTATATCGATATTAAATTATTATAGATATATATAGTATTTAGTAATTGCAAACTTATTTTAAATTATATTAAATTATATAGAAGCGATAAAAATGCACCATTTTCCAATTCT